AAGAGCCAATGCGTGAGGGTTGGTCGGTCTTGATTACAATTATGACCGACTCAACAATACTAAAGACTGCGGTCTTCGTTCTTGGTCTCTTTTAGCTCTTGTTCATTATCTTCGTTCCTCGCCTTGTATATTCAATGTTTGTCTTGATCACGGCGGTTTGGCATTATCAAAACCTGTCATAAGAACAAACACGGCTTTAGTACGAAAAGGTGATAAACCCGTGTTTCAACAGGGGGGTGAATAGCGTTTAAAACAAAATCGCAGGAAATTAAAAACGAGAGCGTTAAAGTAAAGAGCGTAAGGAAGGAGCACACCGAATTTTATCCTGGTTCACCACAACGTGTGGCTAATCCAGCCTCCCGAGAGACTCTCTCGAGCTACACTAACTCCGTTAAGCTTAAGGGTGCTTAACAAACCGATACAACTTGAGAACCTGAGTCACACGAGCCTCAACGCCTTTGATCGGAGATACCACACTCCAAGACTTCTCACGAAGGAACAAAGAACTTCCTTCGAGTTTACAACAAGGGAACTTCCTAGGTCCAAAAACGAAGTGTTCCCAAAAGTAAAAACCAAGTTTGAAAAACATTATATATGGTATAAAATAGTGAAACCAAGACTTGTTTGGTAAAAACCAAGTCTCCAAGGTCGTAAATCACGTGTGTACGGTTTTGACCGTTTCTCACGTGTTAGACCGATTGACCAAGATACAAAAGTGGTTTTTATAAAATAATTATTTGGGAACCTTTTAAATATGCTCAGAGATAAAAAAAGGTTTAAAACATAGAAAACCACCGAGTTGGTTCGGGCGCCAAAAAACCGAATGCCGAACACCGTATGCCGACTTAGGTGATTTTGGTTCTGAGCAAGGACCAGGGATTTTAACAATAAAAAATTTATCAAAAATGTTTATTTTGATGCACAAAAATATTTTATGATTTTGTAAAATTATTTTGACTCTTTGAGAACCGAGACTTGAATTGATTGTCGGTTTTGATCACAAAAGACCGACTCGACTAAGTCTCCAATTCTTGATCTTTGTCCTTGAGTCTTTTAGGTCTTGTTCCATGCCATTATTCACGCCTTGAGTTATTCAACGAAACTCTTCATATCCATGGCGGTTTGGCAATTATCAAAAGCTGTCAGAAATGAACACGACTTTAGTTAAACGTGCAAAGTGTGTTCCAACAATTTCCCCCTTTTTGATAATGGCAAACAAGACGGGGATATGCATAGGATTTTGATCTTTTTGAAAAAAAATTCCCCCTTAAGAAGATTCCCCCTGAAAATATGCATAGCCCTTATCTTCCCCCTTTTGACATTAACAAAAAGATTTAATAACAAAAACCATAAAGATTTTTATTAATTAATTAAGGGAAAATAGCGGAGTACATAACGGAAGCAAATTTAAAAAGCATAAAAAGAATAAAGAAGAGAAGGGAATAGAGCTAGAGCTCTTAGAAGTCCGGTGAAAGATCATTGAGAAGCTGTTCTTCGTCAATGTCTTCGTCTTCCTCTTCATCACCACTGCCATCATCATCATCATCATCATCTTCTTCTTCTTCTTCTTCTTCAGCTTCTTCGTCTTCCTCTTCTTCTTCTTCTTCAACGTTCACCCCTTCTTCTCTTCCAACGTCGTTAGTCCCACTTGGTTCACCACCTAGGTTTGGCGGAGGAACATAAGGGACCATTTGAGCGTACGGGTAGTTGACAAAGTCAAAATACCCGTGAAGCTCACGGCTCAGAATATTGACGTTATGTGCCGTTTTGGAGACGTTGGTGTCTATCCGAGAAAGGGTGGTGGTCAAAGCCGCCATTTGCTCGGCGAGAGAAGGATTGGTCGAAGCGGCGGCAGTCGAGGCAGTGGCTCTCGGTTGGCGGCAAGGACGAGGCTGTGGGAACGTAGCTTCATCGGTTCCCGGGTGGAAGGAAGACTCGTCAATCTCTTAATGCTTCGTTCCTTTGCATTTTGGCCCGACGTCCGTCTTGATGTGGAACTCATCAAGGATCGCCATGACAAGAAGGGCATAGGGAAGCGGCCGGTTGTCGGAGGTGGCATTGAACATGTGAGTCATCACAAATTTACACCAATTGAGATTGGCGTTGTGAATCATCGCATGAATTGTCTTCGTGTCCTCCTGGGAGAGAGTGGTGTGATTGAACTTCCTAGGCTTGAGAATCCGTGTCAAAACATAAAAAATGAATCGATACACGGGACTCATGGAAGTGATCGTCGGACGCCGCTGTTGGGGAGTGGGGACGAAGTTTCGGATGCCCACTTCCTCCAAGAGGGCGGTCTAGTTGAACCGCGCTCCTTCTTCTCCGACGTAGAGCCCGAGATCCTGTTCGTCCCGACGAAGCCCGGTGAGGATTTGAATGTTTTCCTAATTCAAATAGATGTCCACCCTATTGACATTAGAAATCAATGCTCCGTCCTCATCCTTTTTCAAGTTCGAGTAGAAAGCTCGAACAAGAAAAGGGTGATAATGAGCCTTCTTGATGTAGAGGAGGTCGAGGAAGTTTCCACCTTCGAGAATAACCCGTGCCTCACGTGGAATGGAATCATGAATAAAGCGGGCGGTGGAGAATCGAGGAGGGAGAATTTCCCGGTGCTCAAACTTCTCCGAGAACCTCGTCGCCTCAGCGCGGTCGTTGAACCAAAGGAACGACCCATCGAGGTACTTGTGTGCCGGTGGTGGAGGAGGAGCCGAGGAGGAAGCAACGTTCTTCCCGGTGCGAGATCGTTTTCTTTGACCTCCTGCCATATCAACAAAGAGAGAGGGAGTAGAGAAGAAATGCAGAAAATTTGGCTAAGAGTTGAAGAACAATAGCAAGAATGATGAATTATGATGAATATATGGAGAAGAGATGATTAGAATGAATAAAAATGAAGTAGATATCACCAATATATAGTGGAAGAGGTGTAGAGATCCGTTAAAAATGGTCAAACAAGGTTTAAATGCTCTTCCAACGTCTCTGCAACGGTCAGATTTTTGAAAAATCGCCATTGATAATCGATTTACACTCACTGTAAACTGATTATCTGAGTCTTCAGATTCTCCGCCAAAAGAACTGCAGGGTGCGATAGTCGATTTACGGGTTTAAGTAAATCGATTGTTGGAGTTCGCGCCTGAGTTTCTTTGAACTTCTGCAGCCTCAAATAATCGATTATCTCAATGTTGATAATCGATCGTTATTAGCTCCTTCAGATTCTTGGCTCCAAACTTCTACGGGCTGTGATAGTCGATTATCACAAGCTTGTCAATCGATTTACACTAAGTCTGGTGAAAAAAATCGATTTGCTTTGTTCCCCCTGACTTTCACACCTACAATGAAAGCCTTTGGTACCCGTTTGGTCTTTTGGGTCCTTGAGGATTAGTAACACGACTTATTGAACTGATAAACACACACACACTCATAATTACACACATAGCCCTCAAACACACACACACACACACGCGCACACACACACACACGTACCAACACGCGTGTTTAAGTGTTACCTTGGCCAACTCGTCGTTTTGTGGTTGGCGGTTCCAGTCTACTTGAACCGAATGTCTATACCTCGGTTTGATTTGTGTGGGTTCCGGCAGTGGTATGTGAATCTTCTTCTTTTCATCATAATAGAAGAAGTAGTATGGTTTCTTTTGCGTTGATTCCTGCAGGGATTGGTTAGAGCTCAAATATCCTTTTTCAAAGGATTTCATTAGGTTAGTTCCATGCAAAGTGTGTGTTTTGTTATACGTGCAATGCCTATGCCTACTAAAACACACGGGAGCTATATGACCTACCCTATTGCAATAATGACAAATAACATTTGGATTATGCATTCTCCTAGGTTGATAATAGTTGCTAGGTTTTCTAACTTGACCATTGTTCATCCTAGTGTTCTTTCTAGGTGGTCTAGTATTCCTAATTGTTCTAGGTTGTCTATTTTCTTGATTTTCATTATTCCTAAGTTGAGCTTTAGGTTTCCTAGATGGTTTCTCAACTTTTTCATTATTATTAGGTTCATTTTCAAAACCTGAGCCATGTTTAGTAAGTTGCAAATTGTCAAGAACATCATTAAGGTTTTTATGAGAAACACCAAACTTCTTCAAAGTTCCTTCAAGTTTTGCAACTTGATTCTTAAGTGATATACAAGAACTACATTCTGAACTTTCCGGTTTGTCGGCGCTTCTTTTTCCAAAAAACTTATTTTCTTCTTTAAGTTTTTCATTATCTTTTGATAGTTTATCAACTTCCTTCTCCATGGAAGTAAGTTGTTTCTTCAAATCCTTGTTAGTTTTAGAAGCGTTGACATATTCATCATAAAGTTCATTAAAGGCTTCTTGTACATCATCAAAAGTATAGGAATCTTTAGAAGTGGTACATACCTCTTCCGGTGGTTCCTCGTGTGCCATGAGGCAAAGGTTGGCGCTTTCATTTTCTTCGCCTTCCGATGACTCGTCGCCGGAATCACCTCCCCATGAGATGTAGGCTCGGTGCTTCTTGAACATTTTCTTCTTGTTCTTGG